GGGGCGGGAGGAGGGGGGTGCGGGGCGATGGCAGGGCTGCATGCATGGGGCTTTGGTGGCATCTCAGATGAGCCCCCCACACCTCCACACCCCTGTCTACTCAGCCTGAGAGTCTGTGGCCCCCAGGGACATCTGAGATGCAGATTCCAAGATAAGCTCAAGGCTCCAGGAAGGCAGACCCCAGCTTTTTTAAGTTCTGAGGTACCACGTCTCCAAGCTCAGAGCACCCCCGTGTCACTGCTCTTTGTCCAGTGCCGCTGGAGATCCGGCTGCCCAGCACACAGGTGTCCTCCTTGCCCAGTCCCTCACCTGGCCCGGTGGCCACAGCCAGCACAACAAACAGCAGCAGCACCGTCTTCATTGCGGGTGCCATCTGGGAGATGTGGGAGCCCCCCCTTCTCAGGGCCCTTATAGCTGCCACTGGGCGGGGCGGGATGGGGCGGGCAGCGCATTCCAGGGACCCGATGTGTGTGAGAGAGAGAGTGTGCGCATGTGTCAGCGCCAGCAGCAGGGGCCTGGCTCACATCCACCCTGATACAATCTCTGCTGGGCCCGGGGGCATCCCTTCACCCAGCCAGGGTATCCCCTGGTCCCCTCATCCTGGCTGGGGACTCACTCTGCTGCCCTGTCTGTCCTCTGTGGATCTTATCTCTGCCGGTCCAGCCCTGCGTCATGGTCTCTGTCCCTCTCTCTGACACCACCCTAAGGCATTGCTCTTACAGGACATTGCTACTTTGCAGGACAGAGGGCACCAGGACACCCAGTGGAGCTCTGGAAAAATGGATGGTGGAAGCAGAGAGAGGAACGAGGAGGGAGGACCAGGGGAAGGCTGAGACTTTGGGAGTGTGGATGCTGGAGCAGAAGGGTAGGGACTCTGGACGCCCTCTGGGCCTGGTGTAGGGTAGATGCCAAGAAAATGCTGGTTGGAATGTTGTTGTCGGAGACTCAGAGGCTTGGGAGGGGGGCCAGGCTAATGAGGAAGGACAGGGGCTAGGAGCAATACTGAGGCCCCTTTCCTAGCCCTCAGCCCCTGGGGCCAAGCCAGCCCCCGTCCAGCGAACCCCTAATGGGTCTCTTGGGTCCACACAGTCCTGGGTTCTCCTCTGCCCCCTCCCCTCATGCTATCACAGCAGTCTAACTAGCCGTTTCCTGCCCCACCCGGGGTGACTTGGGTGATGCGGGGGATGGGTCTGAGCCTGGAGTGTAGGGCCAGGTCGAGGGGCTCCCAGCGGCCTCAAATCCCTCCTGTTTTCCTCCCACTGTAATGATTGGGCAGCTGCTCCTATGTGGCCCCTCCCTCCTCTAAATGGAGAAGTCACCCAGTCCTCTACAGATGGGGAGAGGCCACCCGTTCCTCTCCACATTAGCGTGAAAATGAGGATGATTCAGGAAGCCCAGAGCGTGTGGGGGCACCACTGAGGCCCTGCTGGACCTGGAGGGACGAGGAGTGGGACACTGGAGGCTGATTGTCCTGTATCACCTCAGACCCCAGGGGCGAGTTGAGAACAGCTAGCATGATGAGTGGTCTGTGCCCTGACCCAGGAGAAGGCCCCTAGGCCCCACCCCAAGTGAGCCCCTGAAGAGGAAGGGTAGGACCAAGGAGGGTGATTCAGGGACCTTGGGGAGCAGGCTAAGGAGTCACTCGCTCTAGGGTGGGGGTGACAGGTGAGGAGGGATGACTCACAAGCTATCCCCCTCCTCCCACTGAAGGTTCTGGAAGAACGGGTTTGGGAGAGGCAGTGGGATTCTTGCTGAACCCAAGGGAGCTGCCTGGATGGCCGAGAGTGGAGGTCCAGGAATGGGCCTGGGGACATTGTGCTCTGGCACCAGTGAACTCTGGCCCTGGGGCCCATCTTTGCCTGGGTGCCTGAGATAGGATACTTGTGCTTTCAGAATTGCCTCAGCCTGAGCTGTGAGCCAGGGGCCCAGGCTGAAGAGCTGGGGTCACCTGGGCTCCAGAGACCTTGTCCCTGGTGTGCTGCCTGGAACCATGCTGGTCTGTCTGCAGATGCTTCTCAGCAGAAGTGAGGCAACGGCCCCGTTTATGAGCAGAACACCTCCTAGACCAGGAGGTCACAGGACACTCAGGGCAGGCTACCTGCAAGGGGTGGCGTGGCCCTGGGGGCAGGATTCTGACTGGATGGGAGGTGCTTCCGGGACCCTGAGCGGGAGCCTGCCCTCCAACGCGTGCTGCTGATGCACGCCACAGAGTCAGCTTTGACTCAGAGACCTTGTGAGCAGGTCCGAGCCCAGCCCTGTCCTCCACCTCCCTCGGGAGCCCAGCCACTGTTACAGTCACCATCGCAGTCCTTTGTTGAGACTTCCGTCTGTGTCCACTTTCCCCAAGGCCCCTCTGACAACATTCTCCAAATATGTGAGCTGAAATGCCGCCATCCTTGCCTCCCAGGAGCGTCCGGGGGCGCCTCCGCCCAGGCGTGTCTGTTCTTTCTAGGCCTTGAGATATTCAGTCTCCTCCGACATCACAACTTAAGGGCATCAACCCATCTTCATGTATGCGTGCAGAGGAGAGCTGCTTGGAGCGTTCTGGGCTGGAATTTCCGACAGGAATAGGAACACATTAATCGTGGTCCCCCGCCTCTCAGGGCCCCCCTTCCTCAGCTCTCGGGGCTGCCGTGACCGTCCACGCTAGGCCCGGTGGTAGGTAAAGGAGGGGCAGTTCTGTAAGGTCTGCCAGTCCAGAACGTCACAGTCTCTTCCCTGAAGGCCTTTCTTACTGTCCTCGGACCAATGCAGATCTGAAAGCAGGTGTCCACTGGCTGCCCATTGGTGCTGACTCTCAGAGCCCCTCCATCCAGGTTCTGAGGCTGTAAATCCGCCAGAGGACACGGCCCTCCTTTCTCCACGGAGCAGCTGGTGACTCGCCCCTTTCCAGGTGGCAGCCCAATGCTTTATGCACTGCACCACGGGGGCTTCTTCAAAGGGACGTGATGTCCAGCATTATGGACCTGAGAGCCAGACATGCTTGAGGAAAAGACCTTCTGAGGTGGCCAGGTCCCATCCAGTGACCTGCTCAGACAGACTCACCGCAGGGCGTTTGGCCAGCCGCGTGATCCCACTGTCCACCTCCAGTTGCATCAGAGCCAATTCATGGCTGACCCTCCTGCGGTTTCCTGAGGCCGTGGATCTGCCGGGAGCATGCTGCTCATCTTATTCCGTGGGGCTGATGGTAGACCTTCCTAACCTTTGTCAGCAGCACGGCTTCCTGCAGACCCTGCTGCCTGCTCACCGGGTCCACCCTCCCGGCCAGACTCCCCTGCTGAGCCTGCCTCGGACATGCTGGTCTTTCAGGGAATCAGCAACTTAGTAACTTTCAGTTCTTCCTGCCCCCAAAGGATATTTCTGGGGTTTTCCTGCAGAGCAGCCTTCTTCACTGCAACCATGGATGCCTTCCAGGTCCAGGCCATCACTGCCCCAGCACCCTCAGCTGCTTTCACTTCATGGCAACCCCACTTTGCTCTATCAGGAAGCTGATTGCCAGGCCTTTCCCCCAAACACCAACCCAACCGTCCGGTACCAGGAGTGCATGTGATTCTTTGGTAAAAGGAGGAGACCTGGGGTCAGGCAGGGAGGGACAGGACCTGGCAAGGCCCTCCTCCTTCCAGCAGGTATCTGACCCCCCCCCAGCCGGACCCTGACTTTGCACATGATACATCAGTCAGTGAGGCCCCAGAGGAAGGGGGCAGGGGCAGGGCAAAGGTACTGCATCCCCCCCCAGCCCTGCCCTCTCACTGAACTCGGCAGGAAGTCACAAGGAACAAGCCTGGGCCTATGACTGGGACAGAGGTTTCATTGTGGGTCCCCTTGGGGAGAGGGACCAAGGCAGGATCCGTGACTAAGGGTCACTGCTGTCTGTCACACAGAGGAGTGATGGGGCCGGGAGTGGCTCCCACTAGGAGCCTGCCCTGGGCTGGGGGTGACCACAGAGGTGGGCAGGGCAGGTCCCTTGAGGCATGCAGGACTGGGGACTTGAGGGAGAAGGTTTCTCATCACTTTAAACTGCTGTAGGGAGAGTGAGGGCACCCCTCACAGCTGCTAAATGCTTCCCCTCTGCCTCCAGCTGCCTCATTCATTCATTCTGCTACACTCTGCCAGGGAGGTCCCAGGAGGCCTGGTGGTGTAGTAGGTAAAATGTTGAAGAGCTAGCAGAAAGGTCAGTGGTTCAAACCTGTTAGCCTCAACCACCTGATGGTGCAGGCCCACCTGATGAGGCAGGTCCACCTGATGGGGCCGGCCCAGTCCCACTTGAAGGGCCAGGTCCACCTGATGGGGCAGGA